CGTGGAGAAGGTTGGCAAGGACAGCGGGCCCCACAGGAGTGGGACAAACGCTTGGAAGAGGAAGGAGAGTGGGAAAGATTTTTAAAATTTGCCCGCTGTAAAACTCTTGAGGCGAAAACTCGAGGATAAAAAAAACTCCCCGTGCATTGCTACAACAACGTCAAGCCACACAAACATTTGGCGCACATTGAACCAGGTGCAACAAAACTTGAAACGTGTAGAAAAGGAACAAAAATGCACGTTAAAATATTTATTTTTATCCTAAATGCAAGCGGTAAAACCTATCAAGTTGTTCAAGTCTCCACAAACGTTTGTACATTATAGCAGCTCAAACTCAAACTCCATCTCTCAAGAAATCCGAGATAAATTATTTATAAATCTCTTTACCCATCGCTTTCGTAAAGGAATGGCAAAAATGGTATAAAACACTAATTTGAACAGAACAATTTTAAGTAATATGTAATATATTAAACTACTTTATATCGGGTAGGTTAATTTGTCACTACACAGGAACATAATGTCCTCTTCTCTACCGAGGTGTTGTATGTTAGTTATAGTCGGCGAAGAAGGTTGCCAGGTTGATTTTTCACACTTCACTGCTGCTATTTTTTTTTCTGCTGTAAAAATTCCAAAAGTGGTACAAGACACTTGCGTTTTTTTTTCCTCCACCTCCAACTGTTTAAGGTTTTGATAGCAGTAAAATACTAAATCGTGAAAATGATTGCGGATGTTATTTTTGGCAGCACCCCATTTTATGGGTACTGTATATATTTGGGGGTCTTTTTTGTTTTGCTTAAGCGGATGGTTATTTTTTTTTATCGCGTCATGTTAAAAATCTACTCTGGACAAGCGTACCATACTGTAAGTGTGGGCAGAGTGCCACACACCACACACCCTTCGAGGCTAGAATTTCGAAGATGCTGACGCAAGTCCGGGTGCGATTTTGCCATTATAAAGAAAAGATCCGTTCTTGGCGATCTTTGTTCGAGGGCTTGGAGGGGGGCTGTCATAAATAAAGGCCAAAAAGCTGTCCACGTTATGTACGGTGAACTTCTTTTGCACCGTACGTAGCCAACAGTGCTCATCGGAGGTGTGGGAAGATGTTAACGCGAGACAGCAAAAATAATTGCATTTAATCAAATGACAAACATGCCGCCCCTGACAAATAAACATGGCAATTAAGGTGGGAATTAAAGCCAGTGACAATAATTACCATACGTAATTAATTTGAAATTTAGTTTGATATTCAAAGCTATAAACGCACCGAATAAATAATCAAAGTTATTCACGTGAAGTTACGACTGGAGTTATCACAGATGCAGTTATTTGCTCAATACATGTGTTGTCTCCAAGAGCTACTTACCAGGTTATACATAATTTAATTAACTTTATAAAAAAAATACTCGACACACGGTGCCATGGATGCATGGGCTTGAACTTGTGCAAAGATTGATTATGACCATTTGAGCTGAACATAAAAGATCCTATGTTTACCTTTTCCATATATTTAACTGCCTAAGAGCTTAAATGTAATTTACAATTTGTGGAATGGTCGCACCGTGCATTTAAAAATTGTGCAACAAGCCCAGCAACTTGGGTTCCATTCATAGCCGCAACTAACATCAGTGGCGAGTGATATCCAAACCGGTGCTTGGTTCGTCCGTCACCAAACCGCACTGACCGACATGGCAAAGTAACGTTGAAACAATTCCCCACAACCGACACAGCATGGGGTGGTCTTCATCTAGCAGTGGATTACCAACAGGCTGCAACTGTACAATTTCCAATTGTCGGCACACTCTTTTAAATCTAGCAAAATATTTGGTGACACCGAGTTGGCAGTGGCGGACGCACGTAGACAAATAACATGGTGGCCTTAAAAGGGAAAATATGTGACGGGTGACATTTTTGGCAATGGCCCTTTCTTCATGAACTGTGTGTCTATTTCATGGTTATTTCGGTAAAGTCACGCAGATAGAAAAAATAATAACAATAAAAGAATAAAAATAAAGTGAACAAAAAACAATAAAAATATCACATGTAATTAAGAAGAGCCTTCTTCATGCACTGTGTGCCATTAAGAAGGGCCTTCTTTATGGACTGTGCGTCATTAAGAAGGGCCTTGTTCATGCACTGTGTGCCATTAAGAAGAGCCACTGCCTAAAACACCACCTATTTTTAAAAAAATATTTCCTTCGAAGGCAGTGTTATTGAAGAATGTGCAAAGTATTTTAAATCTAAGACAAGAACAAAACAAAAAAAGTGCCCGTGTTAACTTTCGTACAACAAATCTGCCGTTTTCCGAAGGGCAGCATGGTGCAAATATGTGTGTGAAGGCCAAAGTGAGTAAATAATGCTGTGAATTGACAGGTCAACGTTGTTGAAATCAGAGGGCACATGTGCTGCTGCTGTGTTAGTGGGCGCAGTCATGCGGGCATGGTTGTAAAGGGAGCGTTCAGGGATTCCTGCAACATTGCTCTGCTCTCAATCAGAGTGTTTATCCAGTTGGTGGGCACGCAGGCCACCCCCACAAAGGAGCGGCTGCATCCTATCAACCTTGTTGGCAACAACACTGGACCACTTGTAATTTTCCACTTTGGAGGTGAATGAACTGGTAAATACGCAAGCCTTTTCACCGAGTAAGCACATTAATGAATCTAGCATTAGCGGGTAAACTGTTGACGCTCGTTACACCTTACTGCAAACTTCATTTTGGGCACTGACGTTGAGCCTGGGTTCTGGAGTCAACACGCTCCACTCATGACAAACAAAACTGGTCCATATCATGGCACTTAAAAAGGGAGGCTCACATGGAGCATGAAGAACCATGTTCAAATTCTACAGGGGTACGGCGAGCCTAATCAGTGGCCACTCCTGCCGCATCGCTCTCAACAGCCTCCCCCCACGTAAGCCTAGAAGCGCCAAACGAGCAACCTCCAACTTCTGTGCGGGAAGCCGAGATGCGTGCCAGCTCTGACCCGAACCACTCTAAAGGAAAATATCTTGTGGCTTTTACACATCAAAAAACTCCGCCAGCACATAATGAAGGGGTTCCCTCTCCATCTTTGCCTTATCTCTCCTCGTCCAATACGTTAGCATGTGCAACAATAGTTACTTGCGCACAAACACGTCCACGTCGCCGACGCCCACGTAGCACTTCGTGCCTTCTTTTAGCCCCGCCCCCCCCCTCCCGATACGTTCTACGTAGCACTTCGTGCCTTCTTTTAGCCCCCCCCCCCTCCCGATACGTTCTACGTAGCACTTCGTGCCTTCTTTTAGCCCCCCCCCTCCCGACACGTTCTACGTAGCACTTCGTGCCTTCTTTTAGCCCCCCCCCTCCCGATACGTTATATTCACTGGCTACCACGTTCTGATAAGCTCCCCCCCCCCCTCCTCACCCCCTCAACTTGTATTTCAGGGCTTGCATCTTGAATCCTTGCCTCACTTGATGCAGCTAATCTGGCTGTGACGGTCCCACCTGATGACGGAGACTTGTGTTGCCTCCGAAACATCGTGATTTTATTGTTTTATTTTTATAAATTTTTATTTCATTTTTTACCTACGTGACTTACCGAAAGAACTAAGAGTATTATAGCGGTCTAATAGACGCTACTGCATGGAACCTGGTCAACCTCATAAGTTAGGTGGCTGTGGCAAGATGAACTAAGAAAACCATAAAGAATACGTTCTATTGAAGCCTCCACTCTGTTGTATTCATGGGACTGGCACAAGAAATCCTTCCCTTTAATCTGTATTTAACAGAGAACCTAGCTGCAGCACTTTATGGGAAGGCTGCAACTGGTATTTTAGCTCAGGCAGTTCTCTGCAGCATCTTAAAAAAAGGTGTGCATGGTAAGACCTTACCATCACGTCAAGTTGTGTTCGTGAAAGCATCTCCACCACAACCAGTAAATTTATGGAGGCGCACGGTGAGGCTGAAGTTTTTCACGGTTGTGCTGCACAGCTCTCCGATGCGTTCCCTGGTTTGCCACGTGCTGTTCGGCACGACGTTCTACATTCGTTCCATGCGCTGGAAACTTTTGAGCAACGGCAACATTCAGTTCATTATGAACCCAAAAACATGTCGGAGAACCACGATAAAATAAACAATGTGGTGCGGAGCACAGCAGGGGATTTTTTTTTGGGGGGGGGGGCAGGGGGGGTAATAGCTTGAGCTCAATGGCTTTGATCTGGCAGGGTCTGGAGCTAATGCCCTCCAATGAGAGCTAAATTTATGCCTCTTTGTTAGAATGGTGATGGTGCCAGGACGTGGACCAAGTTCATTAATCAAGAATGGCACGTGGCGACCGCTGCCGTCTAAAAACATCAGGCTTAGTCGGTGGCATTGATTTTCAAGGCCACTTTGCGCTGATGAAGACAAAACCAGCACAAAGTTTGCATTGATTTAACAAAGGCTTCTGGGGAATTTTTTTTTCGTTAAGTATTGTTGGTTAAGGAGCTGCACATTGTTTCATTTTAGTAAATAACTTTATTAATACCAATATAATCTTTAAAATATATGCAAATAGCAAATAATATTTAGTTAAGGCTATACCGTAGGTCCATTTTATAAAATAAATATTCGTCAAAATAATGCACCCGAATTGAGTAGGCACGTAACTTGGTACATATGCAAGATAAGGCAGACGATGTAACAGCGTGTGGCATGAGCAGGCAATTGCAGGGCCACATCTTTTCATCTCTTTAACTCAACTATGCAATGGGGCAGCGGAGGAGGAGGAAAATAAAAACACGTATAGACGCAGGGCCGCCCAGAAGTGCCTGGAGCCTCCGGGGCAGAATGGCATGCAGATCATGGTGGGGGGGCCTTAATAGTGTGGTGCCCCCTCTTTTGTGTGTGTGGTGCAGAAACATTTTCCCCTTTAGCCCCCCCCCCAACACACACCAGCACAATATAGGCAGCCCTATGTGGACAGAGCACGTGTGTGACAAAAGGTGCGGGGGAGGGGGGGGAATAGATAGCGACAACAGCCACTCACTCGAGTTCAGCAGCACCATGGCCTTGAGGCAGATGAACTCCTCCAGAGTCACGCTGAGCTCGATGAACTGAGAGGCTGTCCGCAGGAGCAGGTCGAAGATGTCCACGATGCCTTCCACGCAACAGCCGTCGTCCCTGGAAGGAGCAGGCCGCACACGTGGGGGGGTTTCGAAAGAAAGCGAGATAGCTGGGCTCGTTAAATTTGTAGCTGGGAAAAAACAAGTAATGCCAATGAACCGATTTGAAGCAATGAACAAGAGGCATCTTTGTCCCCCCAAGGTCCCTAAGATCTGGGGATGCAGATCTTCTCTGTATTCCGAGGTCGAGGTTTTGGTCTATGGGTGACTGAGCTTTTTCCTGTGTAACCCCAAGGCTATGGAATGTTCTTCCACGATATATCAGGATCTCTGAGTCTGTGGACATTTTAAAGTGCTTTTAAAAACCTATGTATATGCTTCAGCTTATTAAACTTATAGTTCATTTAGTAAATTATTTCTTTAATGTATTTATTAAATTATTTTCATGCCGAGTGTCTGCTGTTGCTGTGTCCTGTACAGCGCTTTGAGCTCCTTGATGAAAAGTGCTATAAAAATGTAATTAGTATTATTGCGGCAGAGAGAAATAAAATGATGTTGCCAACTCCGAGGTGAGTGTTATTCCCGCCATTCTGCATCCACCATGAACAACCATGTCGCTCATGCGGTTGTACGACGACACTTCACCACGCTGGTCAGTGCGGCGTTGGTGGGCAGAACCGGTTGAGGTATCAATTGTCACCGATTATAGCCGTGACCAACAATCGAATTTGAGTTGCTGAGTTCTGAGTGAAGCACGCTCAGCACTCTACCGCCACTAAACCCATACAAAAGTGTAAATCATGCATATATAGTTTTTCATATCTGAGCAAGAGCACATGCTAATCATGTGCGTGCAAAGCAGAACATCAGAGTCCTTAGTCACACTCGTGGCTGGAGTTCGATGAGACTCTGACCCTCTTCGTGGACTTGTAGATTACGCTTACATAAAATATCAAGCGACACGAATAACAATATATAATGTATCAATATTCTCATCGGCAATGTAGTAAAATAGGATACCGCATGAGTGACATTACAGTGTCGTGCAAAGAGCAGACGGTGGATAAAAGCAGTTTAGTCTATCAACTGCTACACAATGGAAAGTTTAGACATTTATGAACCACCAAGCAGCCGTCGTGAAATTGTAATAAAATTCTTCTTGCCCCGACAACCAAAGCCTCAAATATGGAATGCAGGGATAAGCCAACGATTTTGAAATAAAGATATTGGCAGCACTTCTCTATGATTGACAGGAATCCTTTGACACGGTGAGCACATTTTGAAAATACCCAAGGGCGCACGCGGAGGCACGACAGGCAACGAGCATCTTTAAGAAACGTGCGCACGAAATCCACAGGTGACTAGATTAGAGAAAATCTGAGGTGTGAGCACAGAGCCATCGGCAAACGAATAACCCTCACCAACCCTACACAGGGCAAACAAAAGCGACTGGACAGGCATAATGATATGATTCTCTGAAAAGGTCTGCATTGCCCCGAGCAAGCAAGAAATAACGGTGAAGATAACTTTCAAGGTCAATGTTGGCATTTTGTCAATTTGGCCCAAAAGAGGAATAAGTGACTTAACACTGAGATGCGCATGAACATAAACTGAGGTGAATGCGCAAAACGTGTCGGCACCAACAATAAAATAATCAGTGATAGAAGCAGTCATCAACCTCTGTCAGTTTTTACCTTCACATTTTTTAATCCCACAAAGAAAAATTCTGACAATTATATATATACACAACTATTTAATATATATTATATCGCCATACTCTTTGGTTCTTTCGGTAAAGTCACACAGGTATAAAATAAAATATAACTACGTGACTTTACCGAAATAACCAAAGAGTATGGATTCCTGCAGTCATGAAAGATTCAAATCAAGATTTTTTTCTACAACTATTGAACGCCCCTTGCCAATCCATTGGATGTTCAAGGACTCCCAATGTTCCATTTGGCCAAGGGCATTTTTAACCATACTTCACCATCCTAGTCAGTGACTGGTTAGTGAAGGCAATCCCAGGACCAGTTTAAATATCACTCATCACCGATGTTAACTGTGGTCAGAAGTCAAATTCGGTTCACCAAGTTCAGAGTGCAGCGCTCTTACCATTATGCCACCTGCATCACTGATTGTACACTACTAATGGGTGCACCGGGTTTGTATATTTCGCAATTAAGAAAATAAATATCATTCTTTATATACATTAGTACTCACAATGTGACTTGTGCTCGTCTGTTTTTGTACATGGTTCTAAATTTTGTATCACAAATGTGAAAATGGGCATGTAAAACTTTTTATTCAATTTCGACTAAAATAAAAACGTCTTTCTGTAGAAATGTATGCAGACAAATCAAGCTTTCCCACACCCAGGGCCCCATAACAAATGCTTTTAGCAAATGATCAAAACCATTTAACACTGGGAGATTCAGAATCAGAATCTTTATCTATCCTGGAGAAACCCAAAGAAAGTGACAAAATAAAGTGTTGGGCAAGGTAGATACCCAAGATCATTCGCAGCAGCAGTAGCAGTAGGAGCATAAGTAAAAGCGTAAACATAAACGGAGTGAATATCTTTCGATTTAAAGCTTTCGTGACTGCAGGGATTCATATTCTTGGATCTTTCGGTAAAGTCACGTAGAAGGGAAATAATAAAATAATAAAAATAAAACTATACAATTCTCACGACGTTTCGGCCACAGCAGCCGTCCTGCTTGTGTTGTGGCCGAGACGTCGTGAGCATTTTATTATGTTTTATTTATATTATTTCCCTTCTACGTGACTTTACCGAAAGATCCAAGAATATGAATAGGAGTGAATATCAACTATGTCAAGAGTTTCTGACGATATAAGCCATTATAACAGAAAAACACAATGATAGATTTGCATGATATTAACCAACCCATCCATCGCAGATGAATGCTAATGAGCTTGTAGGCTCCTATACACGTGTACTAATTATTCTATTCGTTTATGAGTAATAATACATTTTAATCACATTCAAGCAAAGCAGAGAATCGAGCATCTAGTCACACTCTTGTCAAACGTCTGATGAGGTTCTGACCTCCTTGGAATTACATGTACATTGCACTTACATTAAATATCAAGCGACACTAATAGCTGGAGCTCTCCACGGAGTTGGCCCTATTACAATATAATATATATTCTCGGCAGGCCCCGTGGCATTGCGGTGCAAGACACGGGTAACATTACCCTGTTCAGCGTGTATCTGTTGATTGGCAATAAAAAGCGACGCGATCATTTTGTTTTAAGTACCCAACGGCACAACCCGAGGCACAAGTAGAGGCATTGAACAAAAATGTACTTTAACAAACGTGCAAAGAGAGAAAGGTCAGCAAATAAACAAGGAAGTCTACGAGTGACTAGATTAAAGTAAAGCAGTTCTTCCAGCACTGACACAGTGTCTACCGGACATCTGTGAAAACGACTGGACATCTGTAAAAAAGAGCTTTAGAGCCCATCTACATCACCAATTCAATTCTAACACCATTGCATGAACAAGCCAGATCTCGTCAGATTTTGTTATTTGCACCAATGACCAGACTCTGCAGACATGTCGTGTTCGTGTTAGTCCCTAGTCATTGCAAATATACTCAACACAACCCTGGCCCAGCGTGAGTGTGGTACGCGTACCAAATAAATTATGATCAGCATGGAGATGGCATATAGTCCAGAACTGCAAAATTCCTGAACCCAAACGTCATTCGGCACTGTGGGATGGCGCTTTAGTAATGTGATATGTCTCCAAAATCTATTGATGTCAACCAGTCACCTGGTAACATCGGCATATACAATCCACTCTCGATCTTGAACTTTCTGGTATTCACATCCAAGTTCAACACCCACATGTACATTTCAACCTGTAGCTTCCACAGGACTTTGGGGAAATAAATAACCAGGATTAGAACGCATAGTCCTCCTGACCTATGGCCTCCAGAAGCAAGAAGCTGGTCCATCTCCTCCAATCTTGCCACCCCACTACTCATACTCTTCAGCAAAGCTGTCACCACCGTGATGGAGCAACCAGGTCTGCTCATGATTTCCAGTGCATAGTCTTTCATTATTATTTACAGAACCCAGTGGTCTGAGTCAAGACTAGACTCTAGTTCTGGAAAGCCAACAAACTTCCTACCAGAAGTATAAAGGGGCTCAAACTTCAAGGGATATTCAGCTTACCGACAGTCAGCTGGCTTACTTGTCTGTAGAGCTACGAAGAGCATCTGCCATTGTATCTGTACTCATTGCCTTTGATTGTACCACAAAGGATCTAATTCCCTTTTGTGGGAACAACAGTTGAGCTTTCCCATCTGGCCAAATCACTGCCCTTTGGCAGCCACCCTCTGTTTGCTCTTTGTCTCATCAATTTTTTTTCAGTTTGTCCTGGAGGTCACAGAAAAAAGCCACTCAGCCCATGTACATACATATGTCTAGGGTGGACTTTGCACAGCGGTACATAAAAAAATCTAAACTCTACTGTGCGCGACTGCACCTATGAACTCCAACCATGGAGCATGTCACTTCGCAATGCCAGGCCCATAAATGTGAAGGCGGTGGGTGGGAGCATCTGCAATCCACCAACTCTCATATAAAGCAACTTAATGGCTAAATCACTAACAACTGAACCTGTAATGCTTGCTCCACATGAGTCATAACAAGGCCTTTTGTGTTTAGTTTGTTGTCCTCCCCCCGCACCTCCGATTACCACAGTTGGCTACGTAAGGTGCGAAAGAGGTTCAACATACATACAAAGCAAGGCTATATAGGTCTCCAGCAAGTCCACATTAGCTGGCTACAGGGCTAGGGTAGGGTGGTCTTAGAGCAAAACTGAAGTGCAGCACTTGTCTCCCACACGGATCTTCATGCCGGTTGAAGAATCTTTGCCGGCGTCCGTGACATATCCAGCGGTCGCCAACGCATTCTCAAACCCACGTGGCTTCTTACTGTTGTCTGACTCCGTCGACTGAAAACTTATGTCTCGTTTGCGAGTTCTTAAAATTTCAAGGTACTTCAAGATGATGTGGCATTTCACAT